TTTAAACTGTTTGTGTGTTTGTAATTATTATATTTTCCCATTGAATAGTGTTTACCTTGAAACAGTTGAGCATGAATACTCTGACTCAAAAAGCAGACTAGTTTACACTCATCGGTTACTCCCTGGTGTAAATCCAATGGATCATTATGGACTACGGTTGGCTGAAAACATGGATGTGCCCAAATCTATCATTCAAATGGCTGTTAATTTTTCATCAGAGATCAGAGCAACCACAGAAGTAAGATACAATACTATTGATATGTTCTAAAAATGTAAACTGTTAGCAAAACTCATTTTTAAATTTGTTTACCAGGTAAACTTTGCTTCTGCACAAGGGGATGAAGCATATACTTTAGCTTTTTATTTGCAAAAAGTAAAACTTCTGATGGACAAAGAAGACATCAATGCATCTGAGTTGCTTCAGGTCAAACATGAAGTAACACAAGCACTGGATTTGGTGCGGCAACAGAGACAGACTGTGTTGATACATCAGAGGACTTCTCCTGTGTTACAAGAACAACACACTAATCTTCAGCCTAGGAAGACTGACAGGCATCAGCAAAAGCTGTGTGAGTACTCCAGCTCTGAGCTTGACACAACCCCACGGGAGAATCAAGTAGAGCCCCCAGAATTGCGGTTGCTCTCAAGAGATGTACGATTTGGCGATGAAAATCTGAGTGATAGCCCTCCAACAAATCGGTTTTCATTCGGTAGAACACATTTCAACTCCGCTCCTGAACAAACTTCCTTCCGTCTTGGTTCTTTCACAACCAGTAATTCTACTGATAATGACAATGAAGATGCAGAGAGCATTGTTTCTTCATCATCGGCGATTGGATCCTACAAAGAGGGAAGCAAGCACATGAGTCCTACATCAAACTGTTCTCATGATACTTGGCTTGCTGGAAGTCCTTTACCAAGCCCCAGCGAGAAAACAAGATATTCTAATAAAAATTTGAGAAGAGAAAATTCAGAACAGTCCATTAGTTTAACTGATTCTAGTTGCAGTAGCTATAATTTGGACAGAAGCTACCATAGGTCTGATTTAAATTTGTCTGGAAATGCTCAAAATTTATCAGAACCTGACTTCTTTGGTGATGAAAATACTTTTGAGGGTGCAGAGCGTCCTTTCTTTGGTACTAATCCACCAGATAAATGCCTGTTTGAAGTAGGGTCTGAGCAGAAAGAAGTGGACTTTTTCTCGACAAAAATCAAGTCCTCAAGTCCTCCATTTGAGTTTTCACAGAACTCTTCGAGAAGTCAGCCAAAATTTCACAGTCTTTTCCAAATAGCGCCTGAGGAAAAACCAACAGCTCATACGTCACCTCTTTCTTCTGATGTATTTATGAAGACACTTTCAGTGCCACCTTCTCCCAGTGGAGTGAAGAGACCAAATGTTGAAAGTGATATATTATCTCCAATATTCACCTCTAACAAGAATAAAAGAAAAGCTATGTGTGTGAGCGAAAAGCCTAAATCTATCATCCAGGACGTCCCAGACAAGTTGACCACTGGGGAATCCAGCCTGTCAACAAGTTTTGAAGAAACCCGAAAGGAGACCCGGAGATGTGACGGCTCGGACGATACTTTATCAAATTGTTCTCAAGCAACTACTGTAATTGGGTGCCATCGCAACGCTCTTCAGATTTTGCGAGAATCCTATTGTTCTGATTCAGAGAGTGATTAGTTAATAACTCAGCCCTCTTTTAGACTCCATCGTCAATTTAACCGATGTATTTTAAACTTATGACATTCATACCATTTTGACAACAATCAACAGAGCCACAAAGCTCTAATAAATTCGCAGACGATTTCAAAGTTAGCAGTCTTTTCGTCGAGGTCACTCTGCGTCCAGTCCTTTGAGCCTGGCCTGTGCGCCGTGTTAGTAGGCAACACATCCTACAGCCCCCAGCGCTCGTGTGCGTGCAGGGAGGGAAGGGGGTGACCGCCCCTCATCATCTGCCATCGTCTCTCTCACACGCCAGCAAGCCTGAGTGGGTTCGAAGCCGAACACGTGGACATATCACAGCTGCTGAGCTACGCTACTGTCCGACGAGCCCGACACGGCGGCGGCGGGACGGGGAAGTGCTCGAGACCCGCCGCGCCCCGCGCCGCCTCGATCGCGAGTCCCAGGTCATTGCATTCTGTACGATGGCCGATTGGCCTAGCCCGTGAGGGGAAAATGGGGGGAAGGGGGGGGGGAGGGGTTGCTATGCAGCGTGCGTTGCGCTCGGCTCTTGTACACTCCTTGTGTGCAACTCTTGCCAATGCCGGTCATGGCCGCCGCTGTTACCACGGTGACTTCCATTATCATTTAATTAAACCCTCCTTTTGCGGACGAGTCTCTACTTTATTCCGTGCGCGGGAAGCGCGGTGTTTGTGCACTTGTAAGTACCGGGTATTATTGCTCGGTTGTTTTGTCGGTCGCACCTTTGAACCTTTTGACGGTGACCATCATGAGCCCCGCCGGCCCCACGTTGGATGACTTTTGAGTTCAGTCTTCCCTACCTTTCCTATACGCTGTCTAGAGAGTGGGCTTCTTTGTTGGCGCCACGCGCTCCCGTGCGTGTTGTTTTCGCCGCTCAAGTCCCGGTTTCAGGTTTTCTCTCCCCCTACCTTTCCCACCTGTTTACCTGCGCTATTAAGCCAATTCGCCTTTTATTATTTTTCGCACGCGACACGCCCCCCGCGGCGGCGGCAATGGGGCGGATTAGAACCGAACCGGTCTGGTGTGTCCGTGCGTAATGTCGGGCTTGTTTGCGAGCGCGGCCCGGGCCCGACTGGGCCGCAGGACAACAACAAGAGCGGTGTCAAAGTGACGTCACGAGCGGCCGTCCAAGCCGACGACGACGACGGCGTGCTTCACCGGGACGCGGATGCCGGCCGCGTTAGAAGCATTCCGGACGTAGGTCTTTATGTAACCACCGCCTCGAGGGACTTCTTTTGGACCGAGTGCGGCTCACTGTCGTCGTGATGTCCTGGACTCCAGACTCCCGGAGCTGCGATCCTGCCTCCAGTCTGCGAGGTGACCGCGCGCGGTCCTCGCCGCTGCCGGTCGCGCGCGCGCTGCGGGCTGCGGGCAGGGCGGGGGCGGGAGGGGGGAAGACCACGTGCGGAGGTGTCGTGTCGTCAGTGCAGACGGCGCGGGCTGCGCCGGGCTGCGCGGCCTAGGGAGGGCGCGCGGGCAGGCGGAGCAGGCCAGACCGCTAGACTTGGAGTTTAGTCTGTTGTTGCTTAGTGAGCCGTTTGCACACACGGGGGGCCGCTCCAAAGCTTCGCTGTGTTGGGTTGACGCTCTAGTCCAGTGCCGTGTGTGTGTGTGTGTGTGAGCGAATAAGCGCGCGATCAGATTAAGACTTCGGCCCGCGAAGAGCCCGTGCAGGAGGACCCCCCAAACCGTCAGCTGATCCTTCGCTTGTGCGCGCGCTCGTCTGTAGTGTACTTTCTTTACATTTTGTTTTGATCAGTTTGCTGCTGGTGTGGCTGTACGATCATCTGCCAACATGGTGAATCCGGATTTCCTAAGCTCTATGGTGAGTAAGACAACAATGATCACGATAAAACAGCTTCTCTTCTTTTTTTTACGACCCTTGCCAATCTCAGCGGCAAAACTTTTTTTATTTATTTCGTATGTGCAAATTTTCCTCCCTTATGGGTGTTGTGTGCTTGTGAGGGGGCGGAGGGTGAGTCGAGCTGGGATTCCAGATGTAGCGTGTGGAAGTGATGACACGGGAGCGTCAGCTGACGTCCGCCGGCCGCACTGGCCTCACGCAACCCTACCCCGCGCGGCGCGCCACAGCAGACGACAGCCGACACGAGAACAATACAGCCGATCGCATCGGGCGATCCGGGTGGGGCGGGGCGGACCCCCCTCGGGCCCCCCCGCGGCTGGCAGAGGTCAGCGTGGTCAGCGTGTCGTCAGCCTCACAAACAGCCCATGAAACGACATTGTCTAGAAATTCCCACATGTGTCAAAGAGGGAGGGAAAAGACAGTATCCCCGCCTCACCTTCCCGGTGCTTGGGGCTCGTCTACCACACACGTGCGCTCGAGGGCCTCTGTGTGTGTGTGTGTGCTGTGTATTTGCGCGCGCCCAACCGAGCAAGAAAGGGCTTTATCAGACCACTTTGCTCGCGGCCTTGACGAGAGCGCTCGCTCTCGCGAGCGTCGACCGTGCTCTTCAAAAAAACAAGTCACTTTGCTCGGCATTGTTCATGCGGTGGCTGCATATGGGTGTGCTGCAGGCGGCCCGTGCGGTGCGGCGGGTACCCCTCCTCCATCACCTCCAACCAACCTCACCCCGGACCACACTCTTGCGGACGCCTGCGGATGCCCGGGTATGCAGACCCGCGGTGCATCCGTGCCGCAGGAGGCGCACTTTGCCTGCTCTGCAGGGGCTTGTAGACATATGCCATGCCAAAGTTGGTTTATTTTTTTTTCAAACCCCTCGAAACAAACTTTGTTTATTTTCAAATTAGGACCGGTAGAAGGCGGCGGGCGACGGCATGTAGAGTGCGAAAAGGCTGCGAATAAGTTAACGACGATAAAAAGTATCGTGAGTTTGAAGATAAACTGCCTCCCTTTTGAGCGGAGGCGAGCTGACCCATAGGTGGAGCGAGATAGCGCTTTGCATTCGGATGATGACAGATTTGTCATGGACCGCAGCATCTCAGTTCTTGCAAGGAGCCCTTATCGTGGACAATGTTGCATCATTTTCGAATCGAATTCGATCGGAGCGCGTGATCCACTTCTGTGAAAGTCGCCGGAGGCGCGAGGCCATTGGTCTCGAGCCTCTGGAGCTTTTTCGCACACCTGTGCGTGTCAGAGGGCGTCTCTACCTCGGTCTCTACCTTGACTTCTTTCACTAATAAAAGTTTACGACAAAGTTCACCTACTCAGCCACAGTGAACCCTTGCTAGCTTAACGTGAATATCACCGATATCAATGTCAATGTTAGTTGGTAATGCGCCTTTGTTGGCCCTCATGCACCATAAAAATGGTTTCTTTGATCCAAGAAAATTTTGGGCCTAAGATGAGGATAAGTAAAATTTTCCTCAAGTGAACGAAAGTCTCTTAGAATTTCCTTTTCCTTATCTCCAAATTTTCTAGAAACAAAGAAACCGTTCTCTGGGTGTGGTAGCTTACAATGACTTTCGCAGTGTAGTTAACGATGAATATTCACCGTATTTTGTAAAAGAATTTAAAATACACCCTAATTGGCATGAAAATACAATTTGGTTTCCAAATTAATTTTTGAATTCTGATTTACTTGATGCTTTACTAAAATTGCTCTACGGCGCCTGGTCGCATCTTGTTTTAGTTGCGAATTTTCTTTTCCAGTACTGCACTGGTCTGCTCCTTTAAACATCGGAATGTTCCGCATTTTTATTTTGAAGAGCGTACAGCAGTGTTTCGCCCGGCGGCGTGTCAAAAATGCAAGCTAAGCTGGACTTTGACTTTGACTGGCTCGGGCTCGCGTGTTTCGCCCGTGTCGTTCGCTTAGAAAAGGGTGCAATTTTTTTTGAAAAAATTACTGTGAAGTATTTGCAGTGAGAAATGTTCGAATTATCGCAAGTATACAAACTTAGAGTCGCGAGCTTCCGATTTTCGTTGACACCACCCTTTTGTTCGACATGACGATTGTCTTGAACACCGGATTGTACATTTTCTAATGGGTATGTGCTACCCAACTTATGGACCGTCCAGAAAGTACGTCTGTTTTCCTCAGATTCGTTTGGTCAATAACGGGAGCTCAGCTGTCAGCGCCTGCGAGACTCGAGATAGGCCACCCCGCAGTACACACATGTACTACCGGCACGATTTTGCCTACCTGCCAGGCGCTTCAGAGCAGTACTGCTCTGAAAGCTACTAGAGGCTATAAACTTGGTAGGTTTGTAACGGCGAATGGCCGACGTGCCCTCTGGATGATTCGTTACTTAGAATCTTGTGCAAGCGTCAAAAATGTCAAAAATCTTCTGTAGTGTAAATAAAATCGTCTGTAATCTGAAAAATTTCATCCATATTACACTTGATTCGCAAGTTATTACGGTGAAATGGAATATTTTGTGCTATACTCTATATTATGGATGAAGGTATGTTTTTTAGCGGATATTGACGATTACATCATTATTACGGGCGCTTTTGTGAACCGTATAACAATTGCGATTTCGCTTGCAAAAAAATTTTACGTCAGCGAGTCCGTAACGAAATCAGAGTGTATTGCACCATCATGTTGATCACGCCACCCAGATCAGACGTCATCACCCAGATATAAACGAGCACGCCCTGATCAGGCCATATCTGGCCAGAACCGTATCGCCGAGTGGCGTGATCTGATCAAAGGTCTTAGTCGGCCTAGCACTAGAAGGTCGCAACTTATGCAATCATGTGTACATTTCTTTAAGCACTCAGACAACGCAGACCGAAATACAAGAAGGAGTCAAACAAGCCACACGCCTGATTTGTGAAAAACCTTGGGATTGGCCAGAAAGTACGTCCGTTTTCTGTTAGATTCATTTTGCAAATTAAAGGAGCTCAGCGCCTGTGAGACGTGGGGTAGGCCACCCCGCAGTACACGCTTGCACGGCAGGCAAGATTTTGCCTACCCGTCAGGCGCTACACATTAAAAGCTTACTGAGTTCTGTGTGCGTGCTCCGCTTACGCGTTTTTAGATATGAACAAATTTCTTCATACTGGCGTATTAAAAAAATGCTTAAGCGGAGCACTACACAGAACTCAGAAAGCTATGAATAAAAATGTTCATAAGCTTTTAGTGTGTATGAGAGCTTGCATTGGCTGAACGGACGTACTTTCTGGATGGTCCCTTTGTTAGTACATCATGTAGGCGCGCAGCCCGGATGAGCTCGCGCGTACAACTAACTCCTCGACGCGACAATGTTTTGAGGCGAGAAAATAGAATACACGCGCGCTGTTTTGAAATTAGTTGGTGTCGTAGTCGTAGTGACACTCGTTTGATCTTTTTTGTTATTATTTGCGCAAACGAGTGTCACTACGACTACGACACCAACTAATTTCAAAACAGCGCGCGTGTATTCTATTTTCTCGCCTCAAAACATTGTCGCGTCGAGCGATCACTGCTCCGCTCAGCTGATGTGTGCGGGGGGTGACGGCATTGCTATTGTGCACGATGCGTCTGACACACACAGCCGGGGGAGAGGGAGAGTGTCGCACACCATAGCCGCGATAAGTGACAGTGACGTCCCGCCCCGCGCGTTCCGTGGAGAATCACGGAGACACGCGCGCTGCTACAGCCGCCTGCGAGTAAGCTTGGTCGCTCGAGCGGGGGCGGGGCGGTGCAGGCGGACTGTACAACACCGCACCGCACTCTTGGGTTGTTATCGCCACCGGCACACCCGGCAGGAACAACAGTTTGGTGGCTGACAACAGCGCCGCTCACGTGTTTGGTAGTTGTTTTGACACCTGGCTGACGGAGCCGCCTACGGTTGGGCGCGAGGACCCGCCCGCTTCATTTGAATCGAACACTATCGCATAATCTTTGTTTTTCACAAAAGGAGGCGTGTGTCGGCCGGTTCGTAGGGCAGAAAGAAGTCGCCTCTTTGTGTGCGGCGCATGCATAAACAAAGTCGTCCAGGGCGGGCCGGCCGCTTCCTTGGTGCCCCGCCCCCTCCTCCCCCCACTCCCCCCTTGATCGAGTGGCCATCGCGTATTCGATTCAACTATATAACGGAGCTGCGGCCTCCTGGCGGTCAGCGACTCTGGTATACCTTTATAGCGCCGCGCGCTACCAATTAGGTTGTTAAACATTTATTTAGTGAAACTGAAGATAATATCTAAGACAGTCTTTTTCTTTTGTCAATACAAAGTATCATAAGAGGCTGAGAGACGCGGGTATCGTGGTATCGTCCCCGGTCTTAGATCTCTGTACAACACTGGTTAAAGAAACGTGCCAATGTTTGTACCTACTCTGTAATTTGGGGTGTCTTAAATATGTATACATCCAAAGGCTTATGCTACAGAATCCAGGGCGACATTCGGCGTATAAATTGAGATATCTTTTGGCGTATAGATTCTAGACATCTTTGCCCATACAATCTCCACAGCACACCAGAGGCCCTATGATACATACACTCACAAAGAGAGGCGCTCACGTCCTGTACACCCTCACACCTGCGTGCTCAAAGCTGCGGCTTTGCTGTGAGAGTGGTATGGGCGAGGATGTCTCGAATTTATTCTCAAAAGCATACGCTAAATGTCGCTCTGGACCTGAATCCTGTACCATACGCCTTTTAGCGTATACATTTGAGACACCCGAATACACCCCCAAATTACAGTGTACGTGCAGATCGTCGTTTTGTACACTTTAACTAACTTCACACAAATGGACGCGTGCAATGTGAAACACACCTTGTTTTACCAGTGTATGGTTTCATTAGATGGGGAATGCCGTGTGCCGTCCGAAGCTTTCCTCCGCACCCACGGGGCCTTAACGGGCGCGAGCGGGACGAGCGGGACACGCCGGAGAGGAATATTCCGTGCCTTCGGTGGAAAGTAGTGGCGCGCGGGGCGGCCCTTGCGGCCCCCTGCCTCCCCGGGCCGGGCCGGGCCGGGGCCCCACGGGGCGCGCCGGCTGGCTCTGGAGACTGGAGGTTTTCCACGCGGCTGCCCGCCCCAC